GGGGGGGTTGGGCAATTTCCAAAAAAAATTCCTGCACAGAAAAAAACTGAACCGTGGGGGAAAAAAATCAAGCAAGGTCCTTCTACTATCATAATTTTGATTTTTGACGTTAAAAAATATTTTGAAAAAAATTTTTGCACAAGCTATTGCCTACCAAGACAAATCATGCATGACCCAAAGGTGTGAAAAAATTTCATGCCCCAGAAAATTGACCATCACCNCCCCCTCCACCTCAAAAGACCAGTGGTCTTTCCCTTAGCTGGGTGCATGCACTAAGCTGAACAGTCTAGAGAGTTAATCCTCCACGCACTGCAGCCCCTTCGCCAGGGCCCGGATTACGAAAGTCCGCTGTATCGAGTTTACATAAATATAAAAAAATAAAAACGCGACTTCAGCTTTAGTTTCACCTCTGTGCTACTGGTTCCTAATGCTTTGTTGAAATCTTCGCTTGTGAGCCGTCTCCTCTTGGAATGCTTCATAAACTGAGATGCGCTCTGTGTAAATTAATTCAATTCATCAAACGAAGATCGCATTGAACTATTAAAGTTAATGCATCACCTGATGGAATATCCAACTGTACCTGAAGCGTCTCTCGAAGTCTGTAAGTGACATCTTCAGCAAGGGAACTTGCCAGATCGTCTGTCAAACCCTGCACCCCGAAAATTTCGGCGTACAATTTCACCGACTTTGGAGAAACTATCGCAAATTTGGAGTCCTCAGTCATGGTGCAGAATTTGACATTTTTCTATCTGTGCAATGTCACTTCAACAGTGTGGCCTAATCGATGAAATATTGTAAAATCACATTGACAAGCGTTGCGAAAAAGGACGTATGTGAGAGCGCCATGTTGGTTGGTTTGGCCTCTGGAGACTGGGGTAAAGCACAGGAAAACCAGAATACGATCTTACTCACACTGAAAAGGTTAGGATTTCTCAAATCAAAAATACGATTTATGAACAGATTTAACATTGAAAAGATTAAATTAAGCAACCTTCAATAAATTTAAGCGCAACTTTCGACAAAATCTTTGTCCTTTTATGGCATCTCCAAAGCAGCTCCAATGCAATTGGGTTACCTGTGTTTGTGGAAGTTAGCATTGCGGGCGCAAGTTGTCTCTCATCGTGCTCTGTTTCACGGGACATCGAGCACGTCCTATTGTTCTACTACTACAGCTCATATTTCGCTCCCAGGCTCGGGGCTGACTCTTTTTTGAAGTTTCCCTTACACAGGTAAGCGAGTTTTTGTTTGCTCTATATTTTTAAATTCAACATTACGTCCATTCACGTTAAGACGCTTACAAAGTGAACCTTACCTTTGTGCGTGCCAATGGGCAGGTTTTTAACTGTTTTTGTTTTGTTCATTTCTCAATGGGGTGAGCTAAAACGTTAAGCTGCTTTTATAATATTCTTTATTCAGGGCATGATTTCTCCTTTTGATCAACATTTATTTTACAGTAAGTCGCTCTCCGATCGAGGTAAGTTTCTAGCCATTGTTATTCTTATCGTGATAATCGAATCGAATGAATGAGTCATTTTAATTTTACTTTCCTCGGATGACCCTTGCCCCTGCATTTGCCACGAACGGTTTTCAACGATCGGGCACGTCTCCCTCCCGCCAATACTTATTCCATAAGCAAATCCGATTTGTTTTGATTTTTTCACTGCATAGTTGAGTAGTATTTTTAGAAGTCATGTGAGCAGTCATGACTTAATAGTTTGTATGTGTTCGTGGCAAAGAGCGAGGCTGGAAAAATTAAGTGAATTCTAACTTGTTTCATTGTATTGATCTTTGGGTAAGGTGTCAATTGAAGGTACGTCTAGACAGTAGTTTATTGGGAAATCAACAAGAGTTACAAAATTTGTTTGCTGTAAACTGTACTCGTTGCTTTTATTGCAGTAATTTTAATGAAATCTTGTCGTGATGTAATTTTTGATATAAAATAACAAGAACACGTCTTTGAATAATTAATAACCCGACAAACTTCAATTTGTTTTAAACGATATGATTTCTTTGTTTACTAGAAAAGTGGTTTCATAAGCATGTTAATGTTTGGAAAGTGTTGACTAAATTAAATTTTGGGTCGAATGAATGCTGGTCTAATTTTTTTGTTCCAAAAAAAAAATTCAGTTTTATTTTTATGAAATAAGTACATGCACATAAAAGTGAAGGGAACTTCAGAAACTTTGATGATCGCAATTGTCTCCAGATATTTTAATGGGCCATGTGTATACAAGATCAAAGAAATTTACATTTTACCTTACAAACACCCTGTACAGATTGCTTGAAACTGAGTCATATCTCTCTACAGAATCACATTTCCCACTTCTTTTCTCATTGTTTTGCAAAAGAGATATAAAAAATTTATCAGTGTCTTCATCAAGTCAGAGAGAAACTGGTGAAAGTTTGGGTAAATTCAATAAAGCTGTGGAAACGTCATCTACATCAGCTTGCACAATTTGTGCCCCCTTACAGCCTTTCTTGTTCTTCCAAACTTTCACTCCTGTTTCTATCACTTGAGAGAACACAGGATTTTTTCATGTCGTACATATTAGATTTGAGAAGTTAACTTGCTGTCAGTGTATACATTTGCAATAAGGCTGCTTAAGTACCCATTGTCTGATTATGACAAAGAATTATAAGAAGGAACAGCTGGTGTTCAAATCTTAAATTCTGGATGTTTTCATTTTTTGTTTTGGATAATTTATGAGAAAACACTCTTTGAACAGTTCAGGATGTTGAATCTTAAAAGAGGGACTATAGAATGTCATGTACATCCCTCTTTTATTCGTATGTCCACTGCGCATGGATATCCAATATTTAGTTACTCCATAGCTATATCCAGCCTACATGTACAGTGTACACCAGTCCAGTTAGTTGAGATGCATTTATTTATTTTTTTAGGTTAAATTCACATAAATTATTTAATACTCAAACAAGGACCAAGAAATCAAGTGAATTACCATCAACAAAATGTTACGAGTTCATGCTCCACGCTTCAAGAAAGTTATTCAACAGCAGTTTACTGTAAGCAGTGGAATATGGTCCACATGCCGTTACATCCATGCAGGAAATAAGTTCAACCAGGGCCAGAAACCCGAGCCACGGAGGAGCGGGATCAAGAAACTGCTGGTCGCAAATCGTGGTGAAATAGCCATCCGAGTTTTTCGAGCAGCTACTGAAGCTGGGATAAGGACGGTTGCCATTTACTCTGAACAGGATGCCAATATGATGCACAGACAGAAAGCTGATGAAGCGTACCTCATCGGTAAGGGTATGCCACCGGTCGCTGCTTATTTAAATATTCCAGAGATCATAAAAATAGCAAAGGTAAGTGATGGGTCGGAATGATGCCATAAGGCTGAATGAAAATGCAATACTTTTTTTTTTTGTAAAGCAATAATTAAAAGGAGTTTTCAATTTTTAACTCTTGGACATGCAATCCAAACTTAATTTAAAATAGCCCATCAAATGCAAGAGTAGGGTCCCCCAGCCTCAGAAGTGGGGAATGGATGTTGAGAAGAAGGCTTAGTATGTTGCTCTCTTCAGTGTTTGTTTGAGGGTAAGGTGCCCTGTAGTTGTTTCTAACTTCAGTAACCTTTATTGGGCTGTTTCATTTGTCAAATATGTGGCATTTGCTTGAAGTTAGACATGGAATATTGACCTGAAAATTGAAAGAAATATTTACTAGTACTAGGTGTAACTCTTTTCCAGTGAGAACTGTTTTGACCTGATAGCTTTTATGAATTATCCAAATCCGTCTTTTCACTCCTGTATTATTTTTTTCATGTTCGCATAGCCTAGTACCTACCTGTAGTTTAAAGTGAACAAAAACCTTAAGTTTCTAGTAAAGTTTGTATCATGAAAAACTGTCCAGAGTGACAAGCCAATCAAATCCTAGAATTCAGGATTCTGGACTGCTATTCTCCCTCAATGACCCTGGTATTCGAACCAAGATCACTTATTTTGGAAAGCAATGTGCTTTAACAGGGTTCCATTAACATTTTCAGCAGGAGGGTAACTGGTTTCCTCAGGCGAGCAAAACTATTTGAACTGAACTTCTTTACAAGAAAAAATTCGCCTCTAGATGGTCAAACCGGGCAGGCAAAACCATTCTCTCAGCCAGTCAATTTGCCCAGTGCCTGGCCCTTAATGAAGCCCCAGCTTGACGCCACTGCACCACATACATGGTGGAACTATACTTATTGTGAATGATGATTTAATTAAAATGTGTTTTTGTCACATCATCTAGGAAACTGGTGCTGATGCCATTCACCCAGGCTATGGATTCCTCTCTGAAAGAGCGAACTTTGCTGAAGCTTGTGTCAAGAATGGTCTTATTTTCATTGGTCCATCCCCAGGAATTGTTAAAATGATGGGTGACAAAGTGGAGGCACGCAGAGTGGCAGTAGAGGCTGGTGTACCTGTGGTTCCTGGCACAGAGAATCCAATCAGAAGTGCTGCAGAAGCTAAAGCCTTCTGTGAAGAGCATGGGCTACCAGTCATCACTAAAGCAGCTTATGGAGGAGGTGGGCGTGGTATGAGAGTTATCCATAGGATGGAAGATGTCGAAGAATTCTTCAATTTAGCCAGCAATGAGGCACATGCTGCTTTTGGAGATGGTTCTATGTTTATTGAAAAGTTTGTTGGTGAGTGTCCATATTCCATTGATGCTTTGGGTCAGATAGTTTTTCTACTCCGCCTGTGGGTTGGGTTCTTGGGCTCGATACTTTACATGGGCTCTCATGGTTACTCTCTCCACCCAGATGTATTACATAGGTATGGACCAATTAACTGCTTCGGATTTAATTTTGTGATGGACTAACATCTCATCCAGGGGGAAGTAGAAAATACTTGTAGTTGCTTAATGCTGAAACTGGGATTTAAGTTCTGGCAGTATCAGCCACTTGGCTCAGTTGAGGCTTTTGTTCTTTCCAATGTTGCAGGGTGCACAACAAAAGCAAATTTCAGATTTGTCCTTGGGGCAAGCTATAGCATGATGTACATGGAAGACTCTGAAAGCCATTCTTACTAGCACGCCGAAATTTTACTTTTATAGCAGAGATGCAATTTAAAGAAATTTAAATCCAGGAGATTGCCAATTTTTACCTTCTCGACCCTAAAAAAAAAGCTCTTAAAAGTAGAGCTCCTTCAATTCAGCCACAAAAATGCGTCAAAGATTCCAATAATTTCGCCCCCCGAAAGGCCAAAAATCAGCCTAAATGAGTCCTTTCCTTTGAATCCAAGAGAATTGGTGAGCAGTATGGGAGAACAGTAGATCTGTTAGAACTGTAGGTCAGTATCTGGGAGACTCCCGGATAATCTGGGAGAGTTGGCATAGATGCCATGTCCTTCTTTGATTTTCTTCAAAAATTTTCTCAAGAATCTTCACTAGCCTGCCAGACAAATGAAAGACAGAATCCACTAACCTAACTGCAAAATACACCAAGTTTTGCTCTGGGCTGTCAGCTTATTGTCAGGAAAAAGCCGTCCTATTACCAACATTTATTATAATTATTATAAAATACTTAGACAGTATATTTTTTTATGGATTGCAACTTCTTCCAAGGACTTTATTGAATCAAACATAGTTAACTTGTGTTTTGAGCACATCACTGACAACATTTTCACTCACTCAAAATTTTGACAAACTATACTTCAGACCAACCACGACACATTGAAGTCCAAGTGATGGGTGATGCCTACAAGAATGTGGTTCACCTCTATGAAAGGGATTGCTCAGTTCAGAGACGCCACCAGAAGATCGTAGAGATTGCGCCAGCTCCAGATTTAGCTCCTGAAATCAGAGACAAAATGACAAGGGATGCTATTGCTTTATGTAAGGCTGTAGGTTATGAGAATGCAGGGACAGTGGAGTTCTTATTGGACCCACAAGGCAATCACTATTTTATGGAGGTTAATGCTCGACTTCAAGTGGAACATACAGTGACGGAAGAGATAACAGGGTGAGCCAGTTACTCCTGATGTTTAACTTACATGTATGTGTGGGCAGGGGTGCAAAACAGACCACTTTTCCATTTTTCAAGCTTGCCCTTTGGGATATACTGACAAGAAAAATAAGTACAGTTGGTGTAGTAAGTTAATTAGTTCTAAGTACAAGTCATTACATGTAGTTAATTTATTTAACTGTCAATTATCAATGAATTATTAAATAATCATCAAAGAGAGAGTACCAATTTACAAATACATAAACAAGTGGAAATAAGCGATAAGAACAGACATTGCGGTGTTATCAGTATTCCATTTTTCAAGCTGATTATGAAAATATTCTGTGAGTCCTGTTTATGAAGTCGACTAAATTTGCATATTAAATGGCAAATTACATTAGAAGACTTCCAAAGCCAACTAATGTGCAATTAGACTTTATCCATGCAAAGTAAGAATTTATGTAATGTAATTTCTTTCCATTTATTTAATTTGCAAATTTAGTTGGATCTACCTTTTGGTTAAATTTGGAAAGGACAACATTGATTATTGTATAAATTTTGGCTCTTTCCAACAATTACAAACTAACTGTTAAGCAAACATGAGTGAAACTAACTGCAAGCAAACAGTGCAGTTGGCATTCAGCAAGATATCCCTAAAGGATAATTATTAATAATGTTCATTATTACAATGTGACTAAATTAATTCTTTCTTGAAATATCACTCAAACTTTGTTGACTCACAGTGTCGACTTGGTGAGGGCGCAGATTGGTGTTGCAGAGGGAAAATCCTTGGAAGAAATTGGACTTCGTCAAGAGGATATCAAAGTTACCGGCTCATCTATTCAAGCTCGTATCACAACAGAAGATCCTGCTAATGACTTCACACCAGATACCGGCAGAATTGAGGTACGTAACTGTAGCAGTTTACATGTAGGAGGCTGTTTGAGTATCACAAGTTTGTTTACTCATACCATGGACATTAGAGAGTATGACTGCGGGAGCAGTGTTTTAACATTTGGTTTAGAGTTCTAGACACGTGTTTCGTATGTTTCCTTGCTGTTGTAGGTTTTCCGCACTGGTGAAGGAATGGGGATTCGTCTGGATGGGAATTCCATGTTCCCTGGTGCTGTGGTCTCCCCTCACTATGACTCCTTGTTGACAAAAGTTATAAGTCACGGTGCAACTCACAGAGACGCTGCTACCAAGCTGCTCCGAGCACTGCGCGAGTTTAGAATAAGAGGTGTCAAGGTATGATTCAAGTTAAGTCCAGTGTACGTTGTGTAAATATCGAAGGAAAGTACAATTGCTTTTCAATAACTGGCAAATTGCTGTCACATAGAAAGCAAGGGCTAAAATTTTGAGGGACAGATAATGTCCTTTCACAATTGGTATTTTTTTCTAGGTCAGTCAGAGAATGAAACGCTTATATAAATGAGAAAATCATCATTATGAACAAATAAAGGGGTGCATGGACAAAGCCTTAAGTGACCCTTGATGTCAAGTCAAATTCTCCCTTTTTTTACAAGGTAGCGAAAGGCAATTTGCTAGGAGAATCTTGCAGTCTATCAGATGTCACTTGAGAGAAGTAGTGTCAAAGTTTCTTGCTTAGGAATGGAACATTATTAATAATTGCTACCGTCAGCCAGTGCTTCAGTTCATACCATTTGATCCAAGCTCCAAACCCCAACTCTAAACAAACAAATGTAAGAGAAAAATATAAATAAACTACTGTGTGTTTGTCTGCAGACCAATATACCTTTCTTGATGAATCTCCTCAAACAAGAAGACTTTCTAGGAGGAGCTGTCACCACTGATTTTATTCTGAAAAGACCAGACTTGTTCAAGGTGGAGAGAGGACAAAACCGCGCCCAGAAACTGCTTCAATATCTTGGAAATGTCATGGTCAATGGACCTTGTACACCGCTTGCGACTGGACTGAAACCTTCAAAAGATGCGCCCGATGCCCCTGAGGTTAGGGTTTGGATATACAGAAGCAGAGTCAATGTTGTTAGCGATGACAAGCTTTCGACGCTCTCACAGCGTCTTTCTCAAGTAAATATGGCGGGTCAGTGTATTTGTCACGTGAGCTTCGGTGGACCGAGTCACGTGCCAAAACATCCCCGTGTAAGGGCGGAAGTTCAAATCCACGGTCTCGATTGAGCACCGTGACTGACACAGAATTTCAAGGCCTCACGAATTCTCCTTCAAAAGTTGTTTTCTTTTCTAGCTATGACAGCCTTACTCTCTTCCTCTGACTTCGGTATCTCGTTTGTATTTATGTCTGCTACAAAGTCGGGAAACAATTTCTTTACTCGAACTTATAGATTGTTTGTGATTGAAAAAAGTTGGCTAGCTTATAGTGTCATTTTCAAAAAAATTATCACTGAACAACGCTAAAACATAAACTCTCCGCTTTTATTTTGACACATGTGCGAACTTAAAATACGTTTACGAAGTAAACGTTTGGCAGTTCAGTAAATGCCATCCACAGTGCCTTTTAACCATCTGTCAGACGCCATTTTCGGTATAGATGTATCTCAGTACTAAAATTAATGTAATCTTGCAGTATATCTAAGTTACTGTGTACCTTCGGCAAGTCAGTTGATGCCATGATTTCAACCGAGACGGGGTTTCATCTCGCTAGCTTCCCCAACGGTTGACTCATAGTTTTGTTAGATGTAACTGTTATTGACAGCTGCAAGATGACACACATGTCTGTCGTAAAGGAGAAGGCAGTGGGCTGGCTATATTTTCCTCTTACCTTGTGTCGTTCCAGATCCCCAAAGCATCAAATTCTGGTTCGTGTGGTTTTATGAGACCTAGTGGCTTGCGAGATGTGTTACTGCAGCAAGGTCCTGAAGGTTTTGCCAGCTGTGTTCGTAAGAGCGACAGACTTCTGCTGACAGATACAACTTTCAGGGATGCCCATCAGTCACTGCTGGCCACCAGAGTGCGGACTCACGACATGCTGAAGGTCGCGCCCTTTGTGTCGCATTATTTTGCTAATGCGTACAGCTTGGAATGTTGGGGAGGTTAGTGGATATGGAATGGCTTGTACATTATATGGCATACAGGCATTACATTCACCATCTTGATGGCCAGAGCTATTTTCTCAGTAAATTTCGTGGAAATAAAACCGTTGAAGTTGTCCTTCAGTAGCATGTCTGACTAAATGGACGATTCAGTCAAGGCCAAGCTTTCGCCGATCTACGGCATCGTCACTGAGGGAATCTAAAGAAAATATTCCACCGTACTTGTAATAAAAAGAATCATCCATAAAACCCTTGATTAAGCGCGGATATCCTTAGGGTAAGCCAAATGGCAGTCCCCTATTATATTCTTAAGGCAAAGATTTAAGATTGGAGCGTTTTTGATTGATTGATACGAAACGCTTTCGCTATAATCGCTTCACCTTCGGCGGCTAATTAGTGAACATCCGGGAGACCTCGCATAATTTTCGGGTAAATTCGGAAATTGGTCGGAAACGTTCTGAAATATTGCTTGTATTTCTCATAACACCATGAAATAACCAGTAAATCCATTTACTTCCAGGCGCAACATTTGACGTAGCTCTTCGTTTCTTGTACGAGTGTCCTTGGGAGCGTTTGGCGCAGCTGCGCGAAGCCGTTCCCAACATTCCTTTCCAGATGCTCCTCAGAGGCGCCAATGCTGTGGGATACACCAGCTACCCTGATAATGTGGTGTTCAAGTTTTGCGAGAAGGCGCAACAGAATGGCATGGATATCTTCAGAGTGTTTGACTCTCTGAATTATCTTCCTAACTTACAGGTAATGCAGAGTCTCGTGAAAACGCACGTCGGAGAACCGATGAGAGTGCGCACAGTAGAGTTGAAGAGAACGGAAAAGAGTTGGAGGTTTAACAAGAGCCAGAGGCTTCACTTGAGATCTCCAAAATTAATCAAAACTACGAAGAATTTTTGGTTAATTTTTGGGACAACCACTAAATGGCTTCTTGTCACTTGAAATAGTAACCTCCCACTTGTACATGCAACACTGCAGCTAGCTGTATTGTTCAAATTTTGACTGCCTTTTCTTTTCGTTTCGTTAGCTGGGTATTGAAGCATCCGGTCAGGCTGGTGGAGTCGTCGAAGCTGCCATTTCTTACACCGGAGACGTGTCTAATCCATACAAGACTAAATACAACATTGATTACTACATGAATCTTGCATCAGAACTGGTCAGAGCCGGCACCCATGTGCTCTGTATCAAGGTAAGGCAACAAACTACATCAAGTTTTCTTCATGACAGTAGGTAGTTTAAGAAAACCACATCAGCAACGCAAACGGAACCTTGCTAAACAGAAGGTTTCATGAGCAATACAACGGAATGGCTGTGCACGTGCGTTATAATTCTTGTTACATTTCTTTGCCGTCCTCCACAAAACAACAGGGACCTTAAGCAACGACGATGGCGACCCCGAGGACAACGCCTAGTAAAATTGAAGTTATATCTGATTTTACCTTCGAGTTTGGCAAGGTCTGTTCAGTGCGAACTTTGGTCTCGGAATTTGGTCAAGCTAAATATGTAATACCAGCATTCAATTCCAAATGGAATTTAAAAAAATTAGCCGCTGTCGTTCGCGTTCTCTAAAATACGCAGAACTTAGTCATTTCACGTTGTTGTTTTGCAGAGGACGGCTAAAAAATGTACAAAGATTTATAACGCACGTGCACAGCTATTGTTCTACTCATTAAAAGTTTTCTTTGGTGGCGTTCTCGTTGTCGTTGTCGTCGTGGTTTGCTAAGTTCTGTAGTTTTGAAAGCAAACGTGGTCACTTCTGTTGTAAGCATACAACTCGTATTATAGTGAGCTTTGCCAGAGTCTTTTGATAACCACACAATAAAGACTAAATAAATGACAACTTAATGGCTTGACTGATGTGTTCTTTATTGCAGGACATGGCTGGTGTGTTGAAACCCAGTGCTGCTACGCTATTAATTGGTTCTCTTCGGGCCCAGTTCCCCAAGATGCCTATTCACGTGCATACCCATGATACCGCTGGAGCAGGCGTGGCCTCCATGCTGGCCGCGGCGGAGGCTGGGGCAGATGTGGTGGACGTTGCTGTCGATTCCCTGTCTGGTATGACGTCACAGCCCAGTATGGGCGCTATTGTAGCAGCCTTGCAAAACACAGAGAAGGAAACAGGTTTGTTGGAAGAGATTGCTGTTTAAAGGCGCTTAGTCACGATATTTTGAGTTATTTTGTCCACGTACAGAATTATTAAATTGAAGGCAACCTGAAAATAATAGTATACTAAGATAGAAAAACACTAAAGAGATAATAATAATCCACGAAGGAACAAAGATGGTTAAGGATGGAGAAGATTGACACGGATTACAAACAAAGAACTTGAAGAATTTAGGCTAAACTTTTCAAGATGCGCAACCCTTGACTTAGCTCCTTTAAATTTTGCTGCCAATTTGTAGTTGTTGTTTCATTGTTCCTGAGGGCATAGCCTTTGTCTCTTACATAGCGTCTAAAATGCCCAACAAGGGAAGCAGCAAAGTTTGAAATCCTCTTTATTTTCTTCCGTTTAGGAATTCCAATCGAGCGTGTCCATGAGTACAGCGAGTACTGGGAACGAGCACGTCAGCTGTACGCGCCATTTGAGAGCACTGTGACAATGAAGACTGGTAATGCTGACGTGTATGAGAATGAGATCCCAGGCGGACAGTATACCAACCTACACTTCCAGGCCTACTCGCTTGGCCTGGCCGATCAGTTTTCTGAAGTTAAGAAGAAGTACGCTATGGCCAATGACCTGCTGGGCGATGTCGTCAAGGTAAGAACGTACCTTCCCCTCCCCCTCCCCCCCCCCCCCCCCC